AGCAGCCGTGCTGAACCCTCCTCACTGGCCCACACCTCCACAGGCTACCCTCAGCCCTAGACAGCGGCCAGGGTCTCCAAGCGTGGACGGCTGTGTCCCAGGCATGGGCACTGTGGGCAGGGGGAGTGGGGAGTGGACACAACTTAGCATCAGAGAACCTGAGCACAGCACTGTGTCCAGGGAAGAGCAGGCAGGTGTGGTGTCCTCCTGGTGGGTTAGGCCCTGCAGGAAGGGTCCCATTCAGGTGGCTCAGTAGGTCTCACCTGCCACCACAGCCGGTCCCTAGAGGAGACAGCATTGGTGGGCTTCAAGGGGGGGCTTCCCAAACACATGGAAAGTCCAGAAGCCTCTGCTCCCCACTCAGACACCCTCCAGAGAGCCCTGGGCCCCAGCCTCACCGGGGTCCCTAGCCCCAGCTAAGGAGCCTGGCTGGCTGCTGGGGTGGCCCCTGCTTCTCACCCCACCGCTGGCCTCCCCACGTTCTGGCCCCAGGCACTGCAGAGGACATGCTGGACACCCCGTGGGGGCCCATGAATGAGGAGGGTGCATACCCAAATGTTGCCCACTGGGGGTGGTCTGGAGAGGCTGTGCTTTAGGGTGGGGGCTGTCTTGTCCTCTGGGGTTCCTTATGCCTCAGGGTGGTCCCCCCTCTGCTGGCCCATGGACCGTAATCTGTCCCAGAGGCCTGTCCTGTGGGCCCCTTGGAGACTCATCCCTTCCACCCACCCAAGCCAGGCCCTTAGGACTTAGAATGGACCCCACAGAGCAGCGGCAAATCTGGCTGGTGATTTAGCATTTTAATCGAGGTCTCATATCTTTACTCATCACCCACAACAGATGGGGAGGCTCGAGGGGGTTCCACCTTCTCTCCTCCTGGACACACACCCCTCTGCCCGTCCCCAGCCTCCTGTCCCTTCTTCCTCGGGTTCCCAGGCCTTAAGTGGGTTGGGTTTTTAATTTTTTTTCCTGCAGCTACAAATCAGGAAACCAGGTCATAAAACAACCTTAGGTAAGTAGGTGGGCTGGAACCTGCGGCCTCAGAGCTTCCCCCACCCCATTTCTCTCTCTCTCTCTTCTCCTCCTTCCCCTCCCCCTCCCTAAGGAAAGAAATTCCAGCAGGTGCCTCTGACTGGGCCCCTGGGAGCTGCAGCAGCTCTGGCCCACATGTGCCCATATCCCTGACTGGGGGCCCAGCCCTGGGGTCTGGAGAGGCTTTGGGCCTAGTGACCTCTCCCTGAAGCTGCCCAGGGAACAGTAGTTGCTGTGGTGGTGACAGTGGTGGCTAGTGACCATCACGGCCCACCTGTAGATCTACCCAGGGTGGGTCTGGCTGCTTAAAGACAGGGGCAAAGTAAGGGTAGAAGTGGGGGCCCTGCCTGCCTCGCCCCACAGCACCTCTGTCTCCAGACCTGCCCCAGGATACCTGCCTCCAACATGGGAGTTCTCTGAGTGGGGTCCAGGTGAGAGGTTTGGGTATCCCGCCGAGGAGCTTCCCTGTGGGCCTCAGCAGGTCCCTTGCCCCTCTGAACCTCACTTTCTTCTGTAAAAGGCGCAGAACAGAACGCCGAGGGAGAAACCGTGCAGAGGGCGTTGGCGGCTGTGGGCCCACCCTGCCTCCATAGGTCTTGCGGAGAGGGCTGGGGTCTTTGCCTGAAAGAAGGGCTGTGCCTGGGTCTAGCTGCTGGGCCCTTGCTCTGGAGGGCATCTGGGGTCTCACGAAGCTCCCACACTATTTCATGGCTGTGTAGGTGGCCGGGGGTTGGGGGGGCCCATCGCTGTATCAGGGAAGTCCTGGGGTACTGGAACCCGCAGGCCTGAGCTCACGCTCCTATCACTTCGGTCACAGAAGAATGATTTGCCCGAGTCTCTGTAGGGCTCAAGTGTCCCTGTGTCTGGCACTTAGAGGATGCCAGGACTTCGTCCCTCCCGCCTTCCCGCTTCCTGCTTCCCGCTTGCCACCTAGTTTCAGCTAGGACTTTAGAGACAAGGCCTGGACCTGTGTCTGGGGGAGAGGGGGTGGGGCAGGGAGCGGGGACCCTCAGGGCAGGGGGTTGGGCTAAACAGGGGGGAGCCCAGAGAGTGGGGGGCCCTCCCCCCTTCTCCCTCCAACCCAAGACAGAGGCCAAACCCACAACCTGCCCCTTTGGCCACCTCCCCCCTGCCACAGGTTCAAAGGTCTCCGTTGCTCTGGCAGGGGGCCTTTTTCTGCCCCCTCCTCTTCTGATGCCACTGCCTTCCCCTCTTCCTCTCTGTGTCCTTTCCTAGTGCTCTTGAAAAGTAATCATAATCATAATAATTAATAACAACAGAGCCCACGGCAGGCCTGAGGCCGCTCTTAAAGAGGCAGCGCCCCATTTTCTCCTGGTAGAGCCGCAGGACCTGGTGGCTCTGAGAGGCGCCTGTGCCTTTGTTCCTGCATCCCTCCCTCTGTCTGGGGTTGGAGGGTGGTGTTGGGGTGAGCATTTTTGCCTGCTTTCTCCATCGGGCACTGGGCTTCTCATATTTTAATTGAACTGTCTTTTCTTAGAGATAGATGCTTTCACCGCATCCAGCTGCTCGTGTGTATTGGGAAACCCGCCTGTAATACCGTCGCTAAATTAAAAGACGAAGCAGCTGGACCGATTAAACGGGGAGGGAGCGATGGACGGAGCAGGCAGGGAGGGGACACTGGTAACAGCACCCTCTCCCTCCCCCCCTCTTTAAATAATGTTTCTGGTAATGCATTTTGGAGAATGTGAAAAAAAAATAAAAAAGCCGTAGAAATGTTAATGATATCCACAGGACACTCAGCAGGAAATGAGAGTGATCTGGGACTAATAAAAGCAGAAATGTAATTTGTGCAGATATACGAGGCAGCCTTCAGAGTGGTCCTGGGTTTGCACATTCTGGGCTCATAAACACCACAAGGGAGGGCAGGAGGGAGCAGGCCTCGGGCCTCAGCCCGGGGCAGCCAGGGCAGCGGGTCACTGCCTGGGCAGGCCGTCTGGCCAGCGCCCTTCTCACCCTTCTTGGTGGAGGTCGGGGCAGGAGGCGCCGGGCTGCCCACTTGGCAGGGAGCCAGCAGGCCGGAACCTACCGGAACCTAGTGCGTCTCTAGGTCCTCTGGGTCGGTGTTGCAGCAGGTATCTCCTGTGACGTTTTACCCAGGCCGCTAGGGGGGCACTGAAGTGGGTCAGGAGGGCCAGCGCTTCTCCTGAAGGACGCCTTTGACCAATCCAGGGAGGGCAGGAAGGAGGCTTCGACAAGCCTGGTGGGCAGGGGCTGGATGTGGGACGCTGCGGCTGGGTGGCTTCCTTCCCTGGATCAGGGCGAGCTGATCCCCAGGGCAGGGGAGGGCTTTGCTAACGGTTCCTGGGGCTGCCTGGCTGCCCTGGGCTTGCCCTGCTCAGGTGGATGGAGGCCCTCCTCTGTCCCCTGCCCTGGCTTGGTCCCCAGACCCTGAATGAGGAAGGGCCAAAGAAGAGAGGTGAGCTGGACCTCCCTCCGGGGGCCACCCTGCCCTCTCTCCTCCACTCCGCATCTCTGCCTCTTCCCATTTCTCTCCATCTCTGCTGCCTCGTCTCACATCTGCGTCTTCTCTGCCTCTTTCTCCCTCGCTTTATTCCTTCCTCACCCTCGCACAATCCTAGAACCGTTGTAGCCTAAGGCAGACCACCCCTTCCTCTTTAGGCATTTGGGAACAAGAACTGGAAAGTCCCGTGTCCCCTCCTGGGGGCCTGGGCCGTGCAGGCTGAGCTGAGCCCCCCTCTTCCTGCCTCTGGGCCAGCGTGGTTCTGGGTAAATCCCAAGCCCTCTGGGACTTGGCCAGTGGCCAGCCAGCCTCTCGGTAGGACTCCTCTGAAGCCTGGGGAGCTCCTCTCCCTGCCATCCCTCCTCTGAAGGTCTTCTGGGGTGACCAGGCCAGCCAGTCAGTCAGGAGAACCTTTAGCCTGGATGCCTAGGGTCTGCCTGTGTTGTAAATCCAGTTGCTCTGCCCTGGAAGGTCCCACCACGCCACCCTGGGTCATTTCCTGACCCAGGATCCTGCTGTGGGGCAGCTTAGAGCCCGCCTGGGCCCCAGCCCCTACAATCATAACCAGATGGGCTCTTGGGTACAGCCTGCCCTGGCCCTGACCTGCGGAGGTGGGGAGGGGCCCAGCCAGGAGGGACAGGGCGCGTCACCCCAGTGCAGGAGGGGCCGGGCTGGTGTGCTCTCCCACGGCTATGGGACTGCAGCTCTGTCGCACATTAGTATGCGCGCCCTCACTCTGGGCCACGCAATCTGTTTATGCACCTATGATATCAAAAACAGGAGGCAGGTGCTGCCGTCCTGCGTTCCTGGGAGTCAGAGGAGGGACATTTTATGTCTACAGTGGCTTGGCAGCCCCTAATCGACGTCTGCTAGAAGGAACAGACAGATTCCAGATGGCATGGCAGTGGCAGAGGAGGTGCGTGTGCGTGTGAGTGCGTGCACATGTGCGTGTACCCGCCTCTGTGTGTGCGTGCTCTCAGCAGGCCTCAGCGAGCGGCCTCCCGGCCTCCCCCAGGGCAGGGCAGACCCTCTTCAGTCCCCAGCATGGCTGGGTCACGCTTGAACACAGCCGCACAGGGACTAGATTACGGGATCCAGCAGGCCCCAGGGGACAGGGGAGCGGGAATTGCTCTGCTAAATGATTTTGAGCCATCAGGAAGGGCTGGGAGTGGTGGGTTGGGGACGGAGGGGAGGGGCGGGCCAGGAGGAGGGGCGGGTGGCAGCTCCCCAGTGACCTGGTGCTGGGCAGCTGGTTTTGCACCTCCTGCACCGGTGGTCATCCTTGGTGAGGTTCAGCTGCAGGCGGTGTGGGAGCGGGAATTACAGCGCACACCTCCCTGACACAGAAGTTGTCAATATGTGCGCAGCGGAGGGGCGGCGGGGCGGGGGAGGCGGGTGGGAGGTGCTTTCTGAGGCAAAAGGAAGTGGCCCGTCTGAATTACTCTCCCTCTGCCCCCTCCCTGCTCGCCCTCCCTTTTTCTTTTCACAGATAACCAGCCCGAGTCATGCAGTCTTTTCGAGAAAGGTGTGGTTTCCATGGCAAACAACAGAACTACCAGCAGACCTCGCAGGAAACATCACGCCTGGAGAATTACAGGCAGCCGAGTCAGGCCGGCCTGAGCTGCGACCGGCAGCGGCTGCTCGCCAAGGACTATTATAACCCCCAGCCTTACCCAGGCTACGAGGGTGGTGCCGGCACGCCCTCCAGCACGGCAGCCGCAGTGGCTGCGGAGAAGTACCATCGAGGCAGCAAGGCCCTGCCCGCACAGCAGGCCCTGCAGGGGAGGCCAGCTTTCCCGGGCTACGGCGTGCAGGACAGCAGCCCCTACCCGGGCCGCTACTCCGGAGAGGAGAGCCTACAGGCTTGGGGGGCCCCGCAGCCCCCGCCCCCCCAGCCGCAGCCCCTGTCAGGGGGGGTGGGCAAGTATGAGGAGAACTTGATGAAAAAGACGGCGGTGCCCCCCGGCAGGCAGTACCCGGAGCAGGGCGCCCAGGTGCCCTTTCGGACGCACTCCCTGCACGTGCAGCAGCCGCCCCCGCCCCCGCCACAGCAGCTGCCGCAGCCCCAGCAGCCCCTGGCGTACCCCAAACTCCAGAGACAGAAACTGCAGAACGACATTGCCTCCCCTCTGCCCTTTCCCCAAGGCGGCCACTTCCCCCAGCACTCCCAGTCCTTCCCCACCTCCTCCACCTACTCGTCTGGCCAGGGCGGCGGGCAGGGGGCCCACTCCTACAAGAGCTGCACAGCGCCGTCGGCCCAGCCCCACGACAGGCCGCTGACCGCCAGCGCCAGCCTGGCCCCAGGACAGCGGGTCCAGAACCTTCATGCCTACCAGTCGGGCCGACTCAGCTACGACCAGCAGCAGCAGCAGGCCCTTCAGAGCCGGCACCATGCCCAGGAAACCCTGCATTACCAAAACCTCGCCAAGTTTCAGCACTACGGGCAGCAAGGCCAGGGCTACTGCCAGCCGGACGCGGCCGTCCGGACCCCGGAGCAGTACTACCAGACCTTCAGCCCGAGCTCCGGCCACTCGCCCGCTCGCTCCGTAGGCCGCTCGCCTTCCTACAGCTCTACGCCGTCCCCGCTGATGCCAAACCTGGAGAGCTTCCCCTACGGCCAGCAGCCGCTCAGCACTGGCGCCTTCCCCACGGGCATTGCCGACCACAGCCACTTCATGCCTCTGCTCAACCCCTCCCCGACGGACGCCACCAGCTCTGTGGACACCCAGGCTGGCAACTGCAAGTCCCTGCAGAAGGACAAGCTGCCGGAGAACCTGCTGTCGGACCTCAGCCTGCAGAGCCTCACTGCGCTGACCTCGCAGGTGGAGAACATCTCCAACACCGTCCAGCAGCTGCTGCTCTCCAAGGCTGCTGTGCCGCAGAAGAAAGGTGTCAAGAACCTTGTGTCCAGGACGCCGGAGCAGCACAAAAGCCAGCACTGCAGCCCGGAAGGCAGCGGCTACTCGGCCGAGCCAGCGGGCACTCCGCTGTCGGAGCCGCTGAGCAGCACGCCGCAGTCCACGCACGCCGAGCCGCAGGAAGCCGACTACCTGAGTGGCTCCGAGGACCCGCTGGAGCGCAGCTTCCTCTACTGCAACCAGGCCCGCGGCAGCCCCGCCAGAGTCAACAGCAACTCGAAGGCCAAGCCGGAGTCCGTGTCTACCTGTTCTGTGACCTCGCCTGACGACATGTCCACAAAATCTGATGACTCCTTCCAGAGCCTCCACAGCAGTCTGCCGCTCGACAGCTTCTCCAAGTTTGTGGCAGGCGAGCGGGACTGCCCGCGGCTGCTGCTCAGCGCCCTGGCCCAGGAGGACCTGGCCTCCGAGATCCTGGGGCTGCAGGAAGCCATCGGCGAGAAGGCTGACAAGGCCTGGGCCGAGGCACCCGGCCTGGCCAAAGATGCCAACAAGCCGCCCTTCCCGCTGGAGAACCACAGCGCCTGCCTGGACTCTGTGGCCAAGAATGCGTGGCCAAGGGCTGGGGAGCCGGAGGCCCTGCCCGACTCCTTGCAGCTGGACAAGGGCGGCAACACCAAGGACTTCAGCCCGGGGCTGTTTGAAGACCCTTCTGTGGCCTTCGCCACCCCTGACCCCAAGAAGACAACTGGTCCACTCTCCTTTGGCACCAAGCCCACCCTTGGGGCAGCTGCTCCAGACCCCACCGCAGCAGCTTTCGACTGCTTCCCAGACACAACCACCGCCACCTCGGCAGACAGTGCCAACCCCTTTGCCTGGCCAGAGGAAAACCTGGGGGATGCTTGTCCCCGGTGGGGACTGCACCCCGGTGAGCTCACCAAGGGCCTGGAGCAGGGCGGGAAGGCCTCCGACGGTGTCAGCAAAGGGGATGTCCATGAGGCCTCTGCCTGCCTGGGCTTCCAGGAGGAAGAGCCTCCTGGGGAGAAGGGGGCCTCGTTGCCCGGCGACTTCAAGCAGGAGGAGGCAGGTGGGGTGAAGGAGGAGGTGGGCGGGCTGCTGCAGTGCCCCGAGGTGAGCAAGGCCGACAGGTGGCTGGACGACAGCCGGCACTGCTGCTCTGCCGCTGACTTTGGGGACCTCCCGCTGCTGCCGCCCACTGGCAGGAAGGAAGACCTGGAGGCGGAGGAGGAGTACTCCTCCCTGTGCGAGCTCCTGGGCAGCCCCGAGCAGAGGCCCAGCATGCAGGACCCGCTCTCGCCCAAGGCCCCGCTCATCTGCACCAAGGAGGAAGTGGAGGAGGTGCTGGACTCCAAGGCCGGCTGGGGCTCACCATGCCACCTCTCTGGGGAGTCCGTCATCCTGCTGGGTCCTACCGTGGGCGCCGAGTCGAAGGTCCAGAGCTGGTTTGAGTCTTCTCTGTCCCACATGAAGTCAGGTGAAGACGGGCCCGATGGGGAGCGGGCCCCAGGGGACTCCGCCACCTCGGACGCCTCCCTGGCCCAGAAACTGAACAAGCCTGCTGTGCCCGAGGCACCCATCCCGAAGAAAGAGCCCGTGCCACGGGGCAAAAGCTTACGGAGCCGGCGGGTGCACCGGGGGCTGCCCGAGGCCGAGGACTCCCCATGCAGGGCACCGGCACTGCCCAAAGACCTCTTGCTCCCCGAATCCTGCACAGGTCCCCCACAGGGACAGATGGAAGGGGCCGGGGCCCCGGGCCGGGGGGCCTCAGAAGGGCTGCCCAGGATGTGTACCCGCTCCCTCACAGCCCTGAGCGAGCCCCGCACGCCTGGGCCCCCAGGCCTGACCACCACCCCGGCGCCCCCAGACAAACTGGGGGGCAAGCAGCGAGCCGCCTTCAAGTCGGGCAAGCGGGTGGGGAAGCCCTCGCCCAAGGCCGCGTCCAGCCCCAGCAACCCGGCCGCTCTGCCAGTGGCCTCCGACAGCAGCCCCATGGGCTCCAAGACCAAGGACGTGGACTCGCCAGGCGTGCCGGGCAAGGACCAGCGCTCCATGATCCTTCGGTCCCGCACCAAAACCCAGGAGGTCTTCCACACCAAGCGGCGGCGGCCCTCCGAGAGCCGCCTCCCCAACTGCCGCGCCACCAAGAAGCTCCTTGCCAACAACCACCTGCCTGCCACATTCAAGGTCTCCGGCAGCCCCCAGAAGGAGGGCAGGGTGAGCCAGCGGGTGAGGGTCCCCAAGCCCGGCGCAGGCAGCAAGCTTTCCGACCGGCCCCTCCACGCGCTGAAGAGGAAGGCGGCCTTCATGGCGCCCGTCCCCACCAAGAAGCGGAACCTGGTCTTACGCAGCCGCAGCAGCAGCAGCAGCGCCAGCACCAGCGGCAACGCCGGGGACGGGAAGGAGGAGAGGCCTGAGGGCTCCCCCACCCTTTTCAAGAGGATATCTTCCCCCAAGAAAGCCAAGCCCGCCAAGGGCAACGGTGATCCCACCACGAAGCCCCCGCCCCCGGAGACCCCCGATGCCTGCATCAAGCTCGCCTCGCGGGCGGCCTTCCAGGGGGCCATGAAGACCAAGGTGCTGCCGCCACGGAAAGGCCGGGGCCTGAAGCTGGAAGCCATCGTGCAGAAGATCACCTCTCCCAGCCTGAAGAAGTTCGCGTACAAGGCGCCAGGGGCCTCTCCTGGTAATCCTCTGAGCCCGTCCCTCCATGAGAAAGACCGCGGGCTCAAGGGTACCGGGGGCAGCCCGGTGGCGGCAGAAGAAAGTCTCTTAAACGTGGGCACTGGGCAGAAGCTCCCAGCAGCTTCAGGGACAGACCCGTTATGCAGAAATCCGACCAACAGATCCTTAAAAGGCAAACTAATGAACAGTAAGAAACTGTCCTCAACTGACTGTTTCAAAGCTGAGGTCTTCACGTCCCTGGAGGCCCTGCCAGCCGGGGGTACCACCCTGGCACCCAAGAAGAGAAGCCGGAAAGGCCGAGCTGGAGCCCTCGGACTCTCCAAAGGCCCACTGGAGAAGCGGCCGTATCTTGGCCCGTCCTTGTTCCTGAGTCCCCGAGAAAGGGCCAGCAGCATACAGGGCAGCGGCGAGGACAGCTCTGGTGGAGGAGGCAAGAAGCCAAAGATTGAGGAGCTGGGCCTGGCCTCCCAGCCCCCTGAGGGTCGGCCCTGCCAGCCCCAGACGAGGGCACAGAAGCAGCCAGGCCACACCAACTACAGCAGCTATTCCAAGCGGAAGCGCCTCACTCGGGGCCGGGCCAAGAACACCGCCTCCTCACCCTGTAAGGGGCGTACCAAGCGTCGGCGGCAGCAGCAGGTGCTGCCCCTGGATCCTGCGGAGCCTGAAATCCGCCTCAAGTACATTTCCTCTTGCAAACGGCTGAGGGCCGACAGCCGGACCCCGGCCTTCTCGCCCTTCGTGCGGGTGGAGAAGCGAGATGCATTTACCACCATATGCACTGTTGTCAACTCCCCTGGGGACGAACCCAAGCCCCACAGGAAGCCTGCCTCCTCCGCCTCCTCCTCCTCCTCCTCCTCCTCCTCTTCATTCTCCTTGGATGCGGCTGGGGCCTCCCCAGCCACACTCCCTGGAGGCTCTGTCCTGCAGCCACGGCCCTCCCTGCCCCTCTCCTCCACAATGCACCTGGGACCTGTGGTTTCCAAGGCCCTGAGTACCTCTTGCCTTGTTTGCTGCCTCTGCCAAAACCCGGCCAACTTCAAGGACCTTGGGGACCTTTGTGGTCCCTACTATCCGGAACACTGCCTCCCCAAAAAGAAGCCAAAACTCAAAGAGAAGGTGCGACCAGAGGGCACCTGTGAGGAGGCCTCGCTGCCCCTGGAGAGAACACTCAAAGGCCTCGAGTGTGTAGCTGCCGCCGCCACCGGGAAGCCCTCCAGGCCTGACGTCCTAGCTGATCCGGCCAAGCAGGGCTCACTGCGCACCAGTGCCCGGGGCCTGTCCCGACGGTTGCAGAGTTGCTACTGCTGTGATGGTCGGGGGGACGGGGGCGAGGAGGCAGCCCCAGTCGACAAGAGCCGCAAGCATGAGTGCAGCAAGGAGGCCCCAGCAGAGCCTGGCGGGGACACCCAGGAGCACTGGGTGCACGAGGCCTGTGCCGTGTGGACCAGCGGGGTCTACCTGGTGGCCGGAAAGCTCTTTGGGCTGCAGGAGGCCATGAAGGTAGCCATGGACATGGTAAGAGGCCAGCCCTGCCTGGGTGGGGAGCGTGGGGGTCCCGAGCACAGGCAGTGCTACGGTGTGGGCTGAACATGCTTAAGTCACAACCTGCAGACTCCAGAGCCCCTGTGGGGAGCAGGGCGGGGCGTCGGGGCAGGTGGTGTTAAGGCACACCTCAGGCTGAGGCAGGGCGAGTTTTTCCACCCCGTCCCAGGAGACTTCCTGCTGCAGCCCCTACACCTAGCCCGGGCCACCCCCACACTCGCCCGGCACCTCCCGGCTCTAGTGCCCCTAGACCCACTGGCCGCCTCCAGCTGTCAGCCGAGACGCTGAGGCCCACAGGATGCAGGCCTTCCGGAATCAAGTGTCGGGGGCCCAGGTGGCCCACGAGAGCAAGTTGCCCACCCCCATGCCTGTCTCCTGTGCCTCTTGGATGGAGCCGGGGCTCAGGGGAAGAGCCTCGGAAGCGTGTAACACGTGGTTGGAACAGGGGACCTGGGCACGGGGCCCTCCGCTCTGCAGGACAGCCCAGGTCACGTGGCCAAAATGGGCAGGGCAGGGCAGAGTGGCCCTGGCACCTCTAACTGTCCTTCTGAAAACGAGCTCCAAGGAGCCACAGTCCCCGAGCGAGCGTCTGTGAACAAGAACTCTGGGCTGCCTCACGCGTGCTGTGTGACTTGGGCATGTGACTTAACCCCTGCGTTCCCTCCCAGCTAGAGTGGGTGTGAGAGTGCCCACCGTAGAGGGATCACGAGGGTTACGTGAGTTACTGCCCATAAAGCTGGCAGAGCCCTCAGGCCGTGCTTAGTGCTCTGGGTTGGTCCCAGTGGGGGCAGTCCTAGCAGCGCCACCACCTCAGAGTGCTGCCGGCCTCTCGCTCACTCAGTCCCCATCTGCCTCATGGCAGGCGGCAGGAGGTGCCAGGCCCTGGGTGGTGGGCTAGCCTCGCCTCCGGGCCTCCGCTCCTGCGCCACACACTCAGGCCCCGTGTTGCCCCCACCCAGGCTTCTGTGGAACGGCGCTCCCGGCACTATGCAGGGGCGGCGGGCTCTCACCGCAGGCACCCGCCCTCCACAGCCCCTGCCCCGTCCCGCCCCCTCCAATGCCCCTTGCTCTCACCTGCCAAGGGGCGGCCCCCGTGGGGCTGCGGGGCTGGGGCTCGGGAGGCTCCAGAGGCCCCAGACGTTCGCCGCCTGCACTTGAGCTATTCAGTGACCCTCCCCGGAGTAGCCCCAGTCCGGAGCCCTTGCCCCTGACCCCGTCTGCCACCCTGCTGCCCACTGCTCCTTCCTGGAACCCCCTGCAGCCACCCTGACCTGCCCCTGCCCCCGACAGCCAGCCGTGATGTCACACCTGGGGCTGCTGCGGACGCTGCCCATGAGGCTGGCTGGAGACCCCTCCACGCCTGGCTGTGCTGCGCCTGCTCACTCCCAGGCGCGGGCAGCCTCCTCCCCACCAAGGAACGCCCAGCCCAACAGGATATTCACAGCTTCCCAGTGCCAGCCGCCCCCTGTCCCCCGCCCCCCCGCCCTGGGCAGCAGATGGTGGCCCCACCGGCCCTGCGTCGTCCTCTCCCCTTCCCGATTATTTTTTGCCTCCTGCTTTCTCCGCTTTCCTGTCTCGTCACTGGCTCCTTCCCACCCGCCTTGAAACAGGCTCAAGTCTGTCCCGTCATTAAAAATAACAATAACTCTCAGATGGCCAGCCCCAGCTGGCGGCCACCTCCCCCTGCCTCGTGGGCCCACTCCTCAAAGCGCTGTCCACACTCGGCTGGCGGGGGGCTACCTCCGCGCCCCCAACACACACGTCCCACTGGGCTGGGATCTGGTCTTCTCCACGTCCCCTGCAGCCAGCACTGCCTGGCCTGAGCCAGGGGACACTGAACTGCGCGCGTACACACTCCTGTTGGACCGAGCAAAAGCACGTGTCAGGGAGGCACACGGCCGCAGCTGGCGTTCTGCCCCGGGCCGGCCCTCATCTGCGCCCTGCTCCAGAAACGGCCTGGCAGCCTCCCGCCGCGTGGGGGCACCCTGGGAAGGTCAGCGCCAGGAGGACACGCTCCAGCAGGTGTTTGCTGGTCACCTGCCAGGGAGGTGGAACACCCTGGAAGGATGGTCAGGGTCTAGGGTTTCCCAGGGTCCCTGGAGAGGGGCCCACAGGGTCCCAGTTCAGTCCACCACTGCTTCCTGCCTGGGCGGCACCGTGCTCCTTTGCCGTCAGACGGACCCTGGTTCAAACCCCAGCTCTGCTGAGGGCCAGTCCGGTGACTCCAGGAAGGTCATTCGCCCTCTGTGACCTAAGACCCAGGAGCAGGATTGCGGGGTGACACGGAGCACCCAGGACCTGCCTGGTACACAGTGGGGCTCACTGTGCATCTGGGTCCCTGGCCACTCACACCTGTCAGCACTCTGTCCTCACTGTGGCTTTCTGGAAGACAGAACTTATGTGCCAGCCCCCAGGGACGCCCCTCCTCCATCAGGGGCCCCTCCTGCAGCCCCCCCACAGTATCTGCTGTCTCTCAAGGCTCCCATCTCCTGGGGCCTCAGTTTCCCAGTCTGCCCCTTTCAACACTGTCGTGGACCCCAGCTCCTATCTAGCCTCAGGATAAACAGGGGACCCACAACCGAGCTGGGCATTGTTGGGGGGCTGGATGTTATCTGCTGGGGTCCTGGTTTGGGCTCCTTGGCAGCCTGGGTTCCTGTGACAGAATCACAGGCTGCACCCCCTGTGGGGGTTGCCGGGCCAGAAGGGCCTGAGGCCTTCCTCGTGCCCTGCCTCAGTTTCTACATGTCTAAAATGGCCGCGCGAAGACCTGCCTCGGGGGTTATTCAGGGCTCAGTGCAGAGAAGCCATGAGCCAGAAGGGCTCCCGTTAATCCTTTTTTTTTTTTTTTTGACGGGGTCTCAGTCTGTCGCCCAGGCTGGAATGCAGTGGTGTCATCACAGCTCACAGCAACCTCAAACTCCTGGGCTCAAGCGATCCTCCTGCCTCTGCCTCCTGGGTAGCTGGGACTACAGGCATGCGCCACCATGCAGGCTCCAACCCTTTAAACATCAAAACACCGTGCAGTGACCAGGTGCCTATAATCCTAGCACTCTGGGAGGCCGAGGCGGGAGGATGGCTTGAGCTCAGGAGTTCGAGACCAGCCTGAGCCAAGAGCAAGACCCCGTCTCTACCAAAACTAGAAAAATTAGCCAGGCGTGGTGGCGCGTGCCTGTAGTCCCAGCTACTCCAGAGGCTGAGGCAGGAGGATTGCTTGAGCCTAGCAGTCTGAGGTTGCTCTGAGCTATGACACCGCTGCACTCTAGCCTGGGTGATTGAGCGAGATCCTGTCTCAAAAAAAACAACACCCTAAGGCCACTGTGGTTAGGAGACTTAGACCTGGTCTGCCCCGACCCTTGCATTTCATCATCCCTTTTGGGGTCAGGAACTGGGGAGATGTTAGGCCCCAGCTGCCCAGGAGGCCATCCCAGACCAGCCTAGAAGGAAGCCTCAGCCCTGAGCAGAAGAAACTGAAAACCTGATGCTATAGAATGTGCCCCAGCCCCCTACTCCACACCTCCCTACTCCCAGTTCATTTCTCAGCCAGGCCCTGAAGGGTGGGTGGAGGCTTTCTGACCCTGGCCTCCCCCGCTGCTGGGGGTGGGATGGAGCTTCTGCCCCAGCAGTGCAGGTGGTAGCTGAGCCTCGCGGGCTCCCAGGCAGGTTGCTCAGCCTCTGAGCTCTGGTTGGGAGCTGGGGGAAAATAACAGCGGCGCGTCGGCATCAGGTTGCTATGAGGATGAGGCTTCCAACCACGCCTGGCACGAAGTAAGCTATTGTCATTTGTTTCAGTGGCTTAGCATCTGGGCATGCCCGCCACCCTCTCTGCGTCCCTTTTCACCTCACTGCCCCACTGGCACAGTGACGCGGTGGTTCTGGAGTCTAGATGGCTTTGAGTCCTTCAATGTCCCTCCCAGGCCTCAGGTTTTGCTTCACTCTTCCAACGGCCTTCTTAGCATGGCCATCCTGCCCTGGCCACGTCCCCCTCCAAGCAGCTGGGCCAGGCACAGGGAGGTCCCCAATCTCAGCAGATGAGATTTTTTTTTTTTTTGATACAGGGTCTCACTCTGTCATCACAGCTCCCTGCAGCATCAAACTCCTGGGCTCAAGTGACCCTCCTGCCCCAGTTTCCCAGGTAGCTGGGACCACAAATGCACACCACCACAACTGGCTGATTTTTTTTCTAATTTTAGTACAGACAGGGTCTCACTCTTCCTCTCCTTTGTTGAGACCCTGGAGGAGGCCAGGCGCTACGCAGGTTTACATTAAATCAGCATGTCAGGATTGCCAGGTTACCTCCTCTTACGGATCTGAAAACTGGTCCCAGGGAGGGTGACTGTCTCGTCCTAGGGGAGAACAGTCTGGTTCTAGGTTCTGTCTCCTGCTGTCAGAAAGGATAGAAAATGATGCTTATTGCCTTCACCCTTGCCTGGAATGGGAGCCTCAGCTTCACCATCTGTAAAGTGGGATTAATGAGTTACCCACCTTGAGGGCTGTTTAGAAGAAGCCAGGGGACAAGGACACATGCCACACTGCCCAGCACACAGGAAGCACCCGGCAAATGCCAGCTGGCAGTCACAACCATAGTGGTGTCCAGCATCACTGGCCTGAGAGAGTCCCTGCGCCCACTGCTGAGCCTCCAGCCAGCAGACTTTCAGAGACCATCTTGGAGGGGACGGCAGCCACAGGGGGCTGGACACCACGGGACATTCACCTGCCTTCCCTCTCTCTCCATCAGGCTTGTTCCAGCTGTCAGGAAGCGGGGGCCACCATTGGGTGCTGCCACAAAGGATGCATCCACACCTACCATTACCCATGTGCCAGCGACGCAGGTAGGAGCCGGCCACAGGAACAGGAAGGCATTGGAGGCCTGTCCATGCAGTCCGGGGGACCCTGGCACAGCTCCTAAAACCCAGGCCCCATTTGACCACTTGGTTTCCCTCTTCTCCTGCCCTAGCAATTCTTTATCTCCTCTTTCTCTCTACCTATACCTGTGTGAGCAATGCCAGGGATGTGGAAAGGAGGCTGTTCCCAGCCACCTGCTTGAGGAATGCCCAGAGCAGCAATGAGGGAAGAGGCCTAAATCATAACATGGAGAGCTGTTTGAGGAGCTGTTGTGGCCAAGGGGTTGGGAGGATCTCAGTCCTCAGTGAGAAAGGGGTAGTTCGGCTGTGCCTTTGAAGAATGAATAGGAGTTCACAGAGCAAAGAAAAAGGGAAAGGTTATATTACAACAACAAAAACTGAATGAGTTGGGGTAAGATGAGGTTCAATGTGAGACTGAGGCCAGTGGTCTCCTGTTGGCCACAGGGACCAGTTGGGGAAGGTTTTCAGCAGGGTAACGGGGTCTGGAGGCAGGACCAGGCTCCCCTAAATCCTCTCCCTTCATTCCCTCCTCTCACACGTTTGTTTGTTCTACGGCTGTTTATTGAGCACCCACTATTGCCAAGCACACAGAACGACAGGTCGCACGGGCCAGAGAGGTCCAGGAGCCCCAGTCCTCATGGACTAGGAGGGAAACGTGAGCCTTAGAGACGTTCCCTTATTTCATCCAAAGAAAGCAGTCACTTGCAGTGTCATGCTAGTCATTGATGACGCAACCTTTTAAGGTGGGTTAGGACCAACTTTGGCCTGGATTCAAACCCTGGCAGTGTTCCTTAATGTGTGGTCTTGGGCAAGGCCATTGCTGTGTCTGCACTCGCTTCCCCCACCTGTAAAATGGAGATTGTAATAGTCTCTTTTTTCTGGAGTTGTTTGGAGCAGGAAGTGCAGCCTCAGTCCTCTGTTGGCCCAGCCCCCATGCCCCCATGCCCTCAGTCCCTCCCTGCTCTGGCCTGGAAAGGGTGGAGTCACCACGACCAGCCTCACAGTGACAGCCCAGGCACCTGGGGCCTGCATCGCCCTCCCAGAAGACCCTACTACCACCCCTCCTCCCCACCTGATGCCCTGCTGGCTCTGTGCTGGGCAGAGGGGACCACAGCTTGTACCCCGCCTACCTGCTGGGTCCTGGACCAGTGCCAGCCCCAGCCAACTCGCCCTGGGAGCACACGCAGGACTAAGTGATGACAGTTCCTTGGTGGGGGCTGAGCTGCCAGCACCCAGCAGGGAGGGGGCTTGCTGCAGCGGGGATGTGGGGGGTTCTCACTGGCTCCTCCCTCCCACTCTGAGCAGCGTGAACCAGATTTTAACATGGACTCAGCTGCTTACCCAGGCACGTGGCCTCACTCCCCGTAATAGCTACCACGAGGCGCATCGCTCCTTCCAGTGATTCATTTAACACCTGCTCCGTGCCTGGCCCCACGGCAGGCCCCGGGGCCGTCTCCAGTTGCATCTTTACAGACGGCTGTCTCACCCACGGCTGCGCAGCATGGCGTCCACGGCACCCGGATACGGTGCCCTGCTTTTCTCGTTTCACACCCTGTGCTTTTGCCCGCCCCAGCGCTGTCCAGCCTTCCAAGGGGGAGTGGGACAGGTAGGAAAGCCATGGCTCTTGCCTACAGTTACGGAGACCAGATGAGGAGAGAGTACACGTTGTGGGAGAGTTCATCCTGTCTGACCTGGGAGAGAATCTCGGGAAGCTTCAGGAGGAGGTGACATTTGAGCCAGGCCTCAAAAGATCAGGGGAGGTGGTCAGTAGCCTTCCAGGATTTGAGCAAGAGAACTTTTGTTTCAAGTGAAATCTTAGAAGGATTCCCCATATAGCAGGATCTCTGTAGAGCCACATGGATTGGGGCCGGAAAAAGGCTGGGAAGACAAGACACTGACATGCTCAAGGCTAATGGCCTATTGCAAGAGTCCAGGCAGGAAGGGACAGTTGCCTAGTACAGATAGAGCCATACATCCCAGAGACTGAGTTGGCACAGAATCCCCAGGACATGATGTAAGGGACAAGGGAGAGGGAGGTGTCAAGTCTGATGGGGCCCCCCCATGTTCGGGAAGGAGCAGGCCCAAGCAGGGTAGGGATGTACCGATAGTGTACTAGCTATTGCCACTTAGCTACTGGCCCTTCTGGGCCCAACTTCATGGCTAAACACCAACCGGTCACTATTTTTCCATCAGGGCACAGATGATCCGGGGTGCCTCTAGCTGGACCCGCTCCTTTCTTTTTTTTTTTTTTTTTGAGACAGAGTCTCACTTTGTTGCCCGGGCTAGAGTGCTGTGGCATCAGCCTAGCTCACAGCAACCTCAAACTCCTGGGCTCAAGCGATCCTCCTGCCTCAGCCTCCCGGGTAGCTAGGACTACAGGAACGCGCCACCATGCCCGGCTAATTTTTTCTATTTTAGTTGTTTGGCTAATTCCTTTCTATTTTTAGTAGAGATGCGATCTTGCTCTTGCTCAGGCTGGTCTCGAACTCCTGAGCTCAAGCAATCCCGCCTCAGCCTCCCAGAGTGCTAGGATTACAGGCGTGAGCCACCGCGCCCGGCCAGGACCCACTCCTTTCTGCCCCACGTGGTGCGTTATACTCCAGCAGGCTAGCCGGGGAACACACTCACAGTGGCAGCAGGCCTCGGAGAGGGAGGTCAGAGACCCTCTCATGCCCTGGGCTCTGGACCTCACTACATTCTGCTGGCCAGAGCAAGTCCCAGGTCCAGCCCATATTCACAGGGTTAGGAAATGCACGGCACCTCTCATAGCTGCATAGTCACGCTGCAGAGGACCTGGGTACAAGGATGGGGACCTGGGGTGGTCTTGGCGATCCATCTACCACACATGCAGTTCCCTTTGCCAGTTTGCATTTGAGGCGTCTGTAGACATCCGAGCTGTCCGGAGACAGCTGGGCTCAGCATAGAGACTCACTGACCATCAGCAGACAGTGTCGTGGGGCAGGCGGGTGCTGTCCTAGAACAACTGGCCAAGGAGGAGGGGTGGCCCCTGGGGAAACTGAGGAGTAGCAGCCAGAGAAGGTGAGGGAGCACGAGCAAGCCTGGCAGCGAGGCAAGGGAGGACGGTGTCAGGCAGCAGGGAGGGCTGGTGGGGTCACTTTGGCCAGGCTGCTCTGATGTCTGGGCAGGCAGGACGTCTAGTAGACCCAGGTGTTGGGTGGGTGCAAGGTGCTGACAGAGGCCTGGGCCAGGCTGCCGGCCTCTGCCCCACAGGGCTGGGCTGGCCTGGCCCACTAACTCTGCCTCCTCTCAGTCCTTACTTAAGGTGGTCCTGTGGCCACCCTGTCAGTTAGCTAGGAGGCTCCCAGATGCAGACAGACACCAGGAGAGGGGCCAGGTAATTGACCACTGGCTTTTCCCAGTCACTCCCCCCACCCCCGATGTGAAGAGGGTGCCGGGGAGTTGCTGAGAGCTTCCCTTGGCGGGTGTACCTGCTGCCGACCTAGAGGGATTGCCTGGGGTTCTAGCCCAGTGCTCTTTGGAAAGTCTAATTCAGTCCCAGAACAGTGTCTGGCTTGCCTGAGCAGAGGGAAGGGGACAGGCTGATGACCCACCTGCAGCAGCAGCCCCAAGATGGAGACACAGGCAGTTTTCAGGACAGAGGCACCCCCAGCTTATGGCATGGGTTGGGCGGAAAGAAGGGGAGACAGTCTCCAAGAGGTCCACAGTAGGCTGGCCCTGCCTGCTGCCCACCACCTGTCATGGAGCCACCCCAATGTGAGCAGGAAGAACATGCTGGGGACAGACTGCTCCCTTGGCCAGCGAGGCCTCCTGGCTCTTTGTAGGTTTGGGGTTTGTTCAGAACGATGGCTGGCGAGGCTGGGAGGGAGGGTGGATGAGCCCAGAAAGGGACCACAGTCGGGGGTTGGGATGCCAGGGGGAAAAGCCACGGTCTCCCTAGGTGGGCGGGCAGGGGAGTGGGGACTCGCTGAGACAGCAGCACACCCTGGGCTGAGTGGGCATAAGGCACGGCCATGCTCAGCTGTCCTCTCTGCCCCCTCAGCAGTAGCAGTGCTCTGGCACCCAGCTACATGCTGGGATTTGCTCAGACCTAAAACCCCGTGTCCCCTCCTCTCCCTGCCCCCATAGACACAAGCCCCCAAATCCTGAGCACCCACTGTGTGCCACACGTGTGCAGGGTGTTTTACACACTCTCTTCATGGCAGGGTGCATAACGCCCATTCTGCAGATGTGGACACCAAGGCTCCGCAAAGTATCTGATGCTCAAATCCAGGCCTGTGACTCCACTACCCAGTATGTCCACTGGCGTTCACTGAGGCGGCCATGCCTCTTCCAGGGGCTGGGCATACAGCCAGGGGAGGGGCCAGGCCGGTGCCTCCTGGAGCCTGCCTCCAGTGGGCAAGGGACAGGGAGCAAGTGGTCATACATAGCCGGGCCTCTCCAGGCAGGAGACTGAGGGCCAGAATGGGTGGGAGAGAAGGGGCAGTGGGTAGCGCTTAGCCAGGGAGTCAGGAGAGGCCTCCAGTGACAAGGAGTGGCCCACATGGCCATAGGGAAAGACTTCCAGGTGTGGGAGGGCTGATCGTGGAGGATTTTAAGCAGGATCCGATTTCGTTTGAAGAGAGCTGAGGCAGCCGGGCCCTGTGGGCAGTGGGCCCTCCTCTCCCGGCCGCAGCTGGGAGACCGCACCCTGACCTAACCACTGAATCTTCTCTTTGGTCACAGGTTGCATATTCATCGAAGAGAACTTTTCTTTGAAATGTCCCAAACATAAGGTAGGTGATCACAGTGTTCCTTTGGGGCGGGGTCAGACAGGAGAGGAGCCCCCCCCTTCTGCGGAGCCCCAGTGGGGCCCAACCCCCTCCCGCCCCTGGGGGCCGCACTAATCCGCCAGCGTTGGGCAGGGGGACGCGCACTGTCACGAACTACGCTTCATAGACCTGGCAGGTCCTGAGGGAGGGGGCTGCCAGGGGCGGCGGACATCCCTGGGAGGGCCTCCCCACAGCTCCCCCCAGACGGGACGCGAGGGCAGGCAGGGGCACGGATGGTGCGCACGGAGGTGCAGGTTGACAGTGTGAGGCCCCAGCCACGCCGCCGGGGCGGGGCCTGCGGCCTGGAGGGGAGTTGACCACGCACGGGGCGAGCCTGTGTAATGCGCGGACGGGCCTTTCCTTGCAGAGGCTGCCGTTGTAACGCACCGCAACGGCCGGAGAAGCCGCCGGAGCGCCTACCCGCCGCCGCCGAAGGAGAGGAGCCGCCGGCGCGCCCCGGGCCTTAGAGCTGCTCCCAGCGCGGGTCCAGAGCCGATCCTTGATCTGGGTTCCGGATCTTGGATCCGGCCGCCCAGGGCGCAGACGTGCGGCCCGTGTTGGGAAGAAAACCCGGAGTCGCCTGCTCCAGAAACCGGACAGCACAAGGCGTCCTTGCCCACACCCCAGGGGCCAGGCTCGGAGATGGGAGCACGCGGAGCGGCCAGACTCCTCGGCGCACTCGGCTCCGGTGGGGGTGGGAGCCGGCTTTGGCCTGGGGACGCTCCCCCCACCCCCGAAGTTCCAAGACGACGTGGCACACATTCCACGTGGGTGCTGCTGCCACCCCAGTCGGTCGTGGCCTGCGGCCTGGCGCCCTAGGGGTGGAGGTGGGGATGGAGACAGCCCTAGAAGCAGCAGAGGGCGGCTCCTGGCTCCCTGAGCTAGGCAGGAGTTAAACGAAGCCTTTCTGCAGAGAGCTAGGCCAGCGGGAGAGGGAGCCGGAGGCTTTGGGACAAACCATCCTAAACATGTCCAAGCGCCCTTCCCATCCAGCCTTTGCCAAAGCTTTCGTGTGGTTCGGCAAAGCCAGGGTAGTCCTGGGCCTGTGCTCAGGGGATGTGGGCTCCCCGGGTGTGGGCGAGACTGGGACATCCTTTGGCTTGTGTCCTCCCTTTCCCAGTCTACCCCACCCCTGGAGCCCAGCCTGGGAGCGCAAAAGGAAAGGAGACTCAACCAGAGCGCACCTCCGGCGGATCGTCCCTCTGCACCACTGGGACCGCAGCGCCCACTCAGCACGGGAGCAGGGACAGCGCTAGATTTGTGTACAAAACCTGTGTACCCCTCTATATATATGTTACATAGAATGTATATATGTTGGGAACATGCTAGCTTCACCCGTGTGTCGCCGCCGTGCGTCCCGCAGCACAGAGTCCCAACAGGGCCCTTGCCAGGTAGGGGGCTCCCGCAATGCCCCTTCCCCATGCAGCCACCACCGGCCCGGGCCAGTCCCAGCCAGTCCGTCCGCCTGTCCGTCCGTGTCCTCAGCTCTGTCCACGCTTCAATAGGCCTGACGCAGCCCCCAGCCCGGGGCCGCCATAGCAATTTCCTGTACATATGACTGTAAAATGGTAAACGTGTGTATTATATCTGGCCTCGTTATATAGTGTATATATATGTATACATATACATATATATAATATATATGAAGACTGTAAATGTTAAGACGACTAGTGTTCTTATTAGTATATTGCTTCACACTGAAGATTGTGTGTATCGAGCTGTTTCTAAAAGATGTTTATTTTCCTTAAGAGTAAAAAACAGTCATTGCATTCAGAAAAAAAAAAGTCAATAAAGATACAACGATTGTTTTGGAAAGTCTGCAGCCCGTGGATTCTGACCAGATTACCCTGGGACAGGGGCCAGGCTTTGGGGGTGGGGAGGTGCAGATAGAGTCAGGGAGTCTGCCCTTACTGTAGGAACTGGACACCCTGCAGCCCAAAGCTTCCTGAGCTGTGTGAGATGACCAGGGGACAGGGTGGGGGAGCTGAGACACCCCGAACATACAGAGATCCAGTTGTACCTCCTGTCACAACAGGTCCTTGAGGACGCTTGAGTCTATCCTCCCATGTCACCCTGAGACCTGATGGGGGCAGAGGTGGGAGGTGAGAAGGGGCAGCCAAACTTATCAAGGCGCCAAGGTTGATCAGCCCAAAGGCGGCCCAGAGATCAGTGGGACAGATCAGCTGGAGGTCAGCCAGCCATCCCTCCCCATCCCCCACGAAGAAGGTAAACTTCGTTGAGGTGCGTGGGGGATGGGAAGCCTATGCCTACGTAGGCGGGGGAAGGCCTAAAGGACACTTGCTGGTCAGCATGTCTATCAGCTGAGACACACACCCTCCTCCCCAAAGGAATGAAACCTAGATTATAAATAATTTCATTTTATTTCTCTGTACAAAACTCAAACCTATGAAAATAAAGTTTGCAAAAGGCATAGGAGTACGTGAGCCCCGGAGGCCAGCGCACGCTGCTCTACACTATATACAAGTATCCCCAGAAGGGAGAGAGAGACGCCTTGGGGCAGGGCCCCCCCTTGCAGGCCAGGAAAACCACACTGGCACCCCTCAACTCGGGGAAACGTACCTGTCTCTTCCCTCTAGACAGGAGGGGAAAAGCCACCAAGGTGCCCGCTCAGCAAGAAGTAGCGCTCGGCAGGCTCGGCCCCTGCAATGCCCCGACCTGCCACCAGAGGTCAGCACCGTCCTGGCGGCCGCTCGTTGGGCTGGGGAGCCGGCTGGGGAGCCGGTTGGGGTGGTGGGGTTGCGCCTGTCCGGACTCCAGAGCAAGACAAAGGTCCCCGCGGGCTCCCACCCGCCAGGGACAGTGCAGCCATGGCTGAACGGTGCAGACCGGGGTCTCCGGTGCTGCCTTCGGCCTTCAAGGCTCGGACCCAGAACACAGGCCGCACGGGCCGCTCGAGACGGGGGCAGGGCAGGGATGCCGCCTGGAGTCTAGCTGGAGGTGACGGTGGTCCCGCCGCCCAGGCGTATGAGCATCTGCTGGCAGTCGTACAGCAGCCGGCGGTCGCCCAGCTTCTCGAGCGTGCGCGCCGCCTCGGCCAGCATGCCCACGCGCTGCCCGGGCGCCGACAGGAAGCCGGGCGGCAGGTAGCAGGACGCCAGCAGCAGGGCCTCGGCGTGCTCCCTCCGCGTGGGCCGCGGCTCCAGCTCCGCCACTGCGCCTGCGCACACGCACACGGCCGCGTCGGGACGGGCCGCGTCGGGACGGGCCGCGCTCTGGCCACGCCCCGCGGCGCCTCGCGCAGAAGCCTCGCCTCCACCCCAGGCCGGCACAGACCCCAGTGCCCAAGCACGCGGGGTTTGCAGGAGCCCTCTCCCTACCCCAGCCTCAGGCATACACGTGAAGCCTCAGACCTCTGCCCGGGGCCTGTCCAGTAGAACGCGGACTCACAGTCACGCATGCGCGTGTGTCCCACAAATGATGTCTCAGGCCAGGTGTCACCATCAGAACACGCACACACGCACGCAGTAGCTCTCACTATCCGCCAAGCCCCATCTGAGCCCTTCCCACTTGGGCGCGGGGACACCCCTGCGTGGGCAGCTGCCCCCTCACCTCCTTTGCCACTCGGGCCTGCCCGCCGCCTCAGACTGCGGTCCAGGAGCTGGTGAGTCCGCGTGGGGCTGGCCCCTGCCATCAGCCGGGCTGTGGCCTCATGTAGGAACACCTGGGTGAGAAGGCCAGGACAGTCCAGGTTCGGGACTTCCCACACACACTGCTTCATGTCCCCAACGTGAGGAGAGGGCTGCGGGCACTCACCCTACGCATGGCAGGCCGGAAGGTCTGTGCCAGACGCCTCAGGCCACTCAGGTCCCGCTGGAAGCCACGCAGCTCAAGGGCAGAGGCCTGGGCCCTGACACTGGCGCCCTGGGACGTCTGGGCAGGTGCAGGAGGCTGCTGCTGCCGCCACAGGCTGGTGCGCACCACGAGGAGCAGGTCACACAGGAACAGCTGCACGGCCTGGGGGTGGCAGGGGGGGCAGGGGTTATGGGGGCTCCAGCACCGGGAAGGGCAGGGTGGGGGCCCGCGGTGCCAGGGGCCGGCTCCGGGCTGCACTGCCGAGGCACTGCACCCGCCTCACACACGTGCAATGCAACAGCAATGCACCGCGGGGCCGCCCGCCTCTCTAGGCCCCCACGCCGCTGCCTGCAAGGGGAGCAGCCATCCAGCCCTCCCAACGCCGGCCTCCGAAGAGCGGCCCTGCCCCACTGCCCACCCCTCCCCTCCTTCTGGGGGTGGGGAAACTGAGGCTAGATAGGGGCAGCCACTCTCCCCTGGACTCAAGCCTTAGCCAAAAAGCAAAATCAGCCAGACCCCCAGTCCTGCCATGCTTGGGCTAACCCCATGGTCTTCTGTGACCCCTGAGGGGGAATGACCAGGGAGTGGAAAGCTGTGACCCCCTAGCCCTGCCAGGCCCCCGGCCCCACCCCGCACCTTGTCAATGGAGCTGCCAACTGGTGTGGTGGCCAGGCTGTCCCGCAGGTACCCACTGGCCTTCTCACAGATGGTCAGGCTGGCAGGGCCAGATTCTGCCTTTGCACAGCCCAGCAGGGCCCGTGCAGCCTTGAAGGAGTGCAGAGCCGCCCTGGGCAGGGGTCTCCTGTTGGGGCCAGGGCAGAGGAGTGCTGGTCAGACCAGTCCGCAGGCCCTGAGCTCCCCACTGCCCTGGTCTGGCTTCCTGGGGAAGAAAGGGCAGTGACCCCTGCTGGGGAGAACAAAGGCCGGTGGAAGCACAGTGCCAAGGGGCAAGGGAGAGTCGGGACCTGGGGCAAGGGCAGAAAGAATCTGGCTGTGCACTCACTCAGACTCCTGCAGGGCACGGGGCAGGTGTTCCACCAGCGGGTACAGCCTCTCAGCCGCCTCCTCATCCCGCCGCAGCCAGTGGATCACCACAGCCGTCAGCGAGGCCCACCACTTGGCCACTGGGTCTGTGCCTGCAGAGGAGGAAGGGCCCCTGAGCCCTCAGCTACACTGCACGCGGGGCTGAGCAAGGAGTCAGGGGCAGGGGCCTGGGGTCTCACCCGTGGTGGCCATGCTGGAGCTGATGGAAAAGCTGCAGGCGGGAGCGCCAGCAGCATCGGAACAGCTGTTCAACAATTGCAGGTACCCGAGGGCATCTGAGAATTCCCTGTGGCAGGAGAGACTGGCTGTCAGGACAGATGGCAGGGGTCCTAGAAGTCCTAAGAGAGTGCTGGCCCTCCCCACCTACTCCCCAGAGCACGCACGGTCTGATCCCCTAGCTCTGCAAAGTGCCACTGTCTCCTTCTGCTAGACTGGTGGCAAAATGAGATCCAGGGAGGAACCAAGGACACATAGTGAGTGGACAGCAGTCCAGGCTCTGGCCACTACACAGGTCCCTGGACATAGCCATTCCCAGACACACTGGAGGGGTCTTGCCTAGAAGAGGGCATGGGGACACTCACCTGTCTCCATCAGCTGACCCAGGGCTGGGGGTGGTGCTGGGCTGGGCCACACAGTTCAGTGCTTGCTCCAAGAGATGTTCCCGGAATAGCTGCGTCACCTGGGCCAGGGGGTCCACTGTGGGGAGGAGAGGATGAGGGGGCAAGGGACGAGAGCCTCACCCCTGCTATCTACATTCACTGCTACACGCTGGGGGCTCTTCCCTGGGCGGCCTGGAGCCACACCTAGGGCAGGTCAAAAGTGCTGGCTTGGCCCTAGGAGCATTCCCACCAAAGACGGATGGAAGGTGGTGGATAAATACCTGGGCTCCGGACACAGGTATAGTAACAGTGAGGCCTGCTCTCCACTGTCTCCAAAAGGTGCCTGATTAGGTTCCTTTATCAGCTCTGCCCTTTCCCTGCCTCACTTCCTCACTCCAGTTGGTGCTGCCTGGGGTCACCTCCCTAATCAACGACCTGCCCTCAAAGCCCTGCCTTTGCTCCCGAAGAGCCCCGACTGGAACAGAGACCCAGCCAGCCCTTCCCTTTCCTGCAGCCCCCACTGCAGCACCCGACGGCAGGGAGATGGACTGGGCTGGGCAAAGACATCCAGAGACGCAGGGGGCAAGGGACAGGACAGGAATGAGGACAAGAGACAGGACAGGGTACAGGGAGGGGTGAGAGAATACCTGGGTTCCCGGCCAAGCTGTACAGGCTCTCCCGAGGGGCACTGCGCACGGCCCAGTCCCCATCCACGAAGAAACGGTGGCCCACGGGGTGGCAGAGCCACTGCATGGCAAGAGGCACTGAGCCACTCTGTGCCAAGCAGGCCTGGCGGGCGCTACTCAGGAAGAAACGCTGTGGGGGAGGGGAGCTGGGCTGTCACACTGGACCCAGGCAGGGGCTCAAACCCAGACCCGGCCCCAGCTTGGCCTGGTGCCCACATGGTAACCAACCTCATCCTGCACAGCCCCTTGCCCAGGAGCCTCTGGGAGAGCTGCAAAGAGAAGCCCCAGCCCTGTCCCCACCAGCCCACCACCCACTCACTGTCAGAAAATGCAAGGACCGTGGGAGACTGGTCTTGACTCTCAGCGCAGCCGCCACATAGATCTCTGCCAGTGTCACCACAGACATGGCATCCCCCGCACACTCCGCCAGGTTCAGGGCACTCAGTGCCAGGTTGGTGGCAGTGAGGTGCCCGCCTGTGTACTTCCCTGGAAAGCAGATGGGACGTGAGGTTGGGGGTGGGCCGCAGTGGCAGGGAGAGCCCAAGCCCGGCTCCACACCGATCATACCCATGGTATGCAGCTGGTGCAGCTTATGGTACACAAGGGCCGCATCTCGGGTGCTGGCGCGAGCATCCGCCTGCAGGGCACAGTCCCTTTGCAGGCCCCCTGCCCGGCCTGCCAGCCAACGGCCCACCCAGAGACGCTGCAGCAGGTGGCGGATGAGGTTCCAAAGTAGGCTACAGGCCAGGTCCAGGTGGGAGGTGGGCAGGGGCCGGCCCAGCGCTCGCAGGGCCAACCACAGCTGCTGGGTGGCCTGGGCAAAGTCCCCCTGGAGAAGAGGGTTTTTCAAGTGAGAAAAGTGGGACCAGAGTACCTCTCCTCTATTTCTGAAGAGCCATCTGCCTCAGGCTCCTGAGATCAGGGGGGGTCTGAGGGCGATAGGAGCGGGGAGAACAGGGCAGGTCTGTGGTGTGCACAGAGAGCAGGGAAGAGGGGCTGACACCAGCACCTTCCCAGCCTGGGGGCCCAGGTGCTGCCCAGGGCCCTTCCCTGCCCCAGGCTGGCCCTCACCCGGGCCAGGTCCAGGTCGGCCTGTTTGCGATGCCTCCAGAAGTGCACGGCGGGGCCTGAGTGGGGCCGCGTGACTGGCTCTCCGTAGACAAAGAGAAGCACCAGGGAGACCAGCACTAGCAGCCCATTGAGGAGCCAGATCAGTGGGGGCAGCAGCCACTGGGCCCAGCCAGGGCCATCTGTGGGCAGAGGGAAAGGTTTGGGGATCCAGGTGCTAGGAAACTCAGAGTCCCAAGCCCACAGGCCTAGGGTCTACACCCCAAGCATCCCTCCCAGAGATGCCCAGGCTGGCCTGCCCTACCTCTGCCCTCGGTGCCCAGCATGTTGCGCCCAACACTATGGTAGACACTGGTGGCATCCGCAGGGTCAGGAGCTTCCCAGCCTCCTAGCAGGGAGGCCAAGGGGTTGCAGGACAAGCAGAGGAAGACCAGTGTGCACAGGGCCAGGCGGGAGCGGTCCAGCATGCCCCGGCTGTGGGGAGACAGCCGCTGCTCTGGCTTCACCTGGTGGCGGTGGACAGGGTGGTGAGGGCAGAGCCCCAGCGACCTCAGAAAGCGCGGGGCTGGGCAGGAGGGGTTAGGACGCCACCCGCCTTACTGTGGGACCCCACGCAGCTCCAGGCCTATTATTCAGTCTATAAAATGGGAGGTAGGATCTGTTAGGGGCCTCTTCCCGACCCTGTCCTGGGGCTCAGAGGATATCGCTGGGAGTGGGGAAGGGGGCGCCACTTCAGGGCCCAACCTGGCTATCCTCAAAGGCTGGGCTGTCAGGCTCCGAGTCACTGCCACTGCCACCACTGCCACTGCCCCTGCTGCCAAGGGACAAAGGGCTGCTCTGGGAGGGCGAGCCGGCATCCGAGGGTGGTGGCGTCAGCGTGTCCTCCACCTCGGTCTTCACGCCCTCCATGAGTTCATCTGTGTTTCCTCCGCTGCCACGGGTGGATACCAGATCCTTCAGAGATTCTGTAGGCCAGAGAGGAACAGAGGTGGGAGTGAAGGTGGGTCATGCCAGCCCAAATCTGAGCTCAAGGCCCTAGCGGTGTGGGGCTGGGAGCTGGCCTAGCTCCTAAAGCTGGCCTGGGAAGCTGGGGAAGGGCTCAGTTAGGGCCAAACGAGGAGCTAGGGCTGTGCCAGAAGTGACCAAGGGGTTCAAGCTGAAGGTGGGGAGGGGGCCTGGGGCGGCACTGTGAGGCCTGCCCTCCACTGTCTCCAAAAGGTGCCTGATTAGGTACCTTTATCAGCTCTGCCCTTTCCCTGCCTCAACTTCCTCACTCCAGTCGGTGCTGCCTGGGGTCACCTCCCTAATCAACCCTTGGCACCAGAGCCAAGGGTTAGGTGGGGCTGGGGACAGGGCCAGAGCCGGGGGCGTGGCAGGGCTAAAGGGGAAGCCATAGGCCGGGGCAGAATGAGGCCAGGACTCACTGCTTTTGTGGGCAGCAGTGCGCAGACTCAGGTTCTCCTGCTTGAGTTTCTGGTTGCTGTGTTGTAGAAATCGGATGTAGTCTATGGCCTTGCGCAAGACAGCAGATTTATTCAGCTGCAGAGAGTGGGAGGGAGAGAGTGCAGGTGGCCAGTCAGGCCTGGTGGGAGGCACTTAGCAAGGGGGTGCGGAGCTGCTTTGCAACACAGCTGCCTCAGGACCTTTGCACTTGTTCCTTCTACCTGGAACGTTCCTCTGCAGTAGTACCTACCTCCAAGGACAGGCACAAGGACTAACGTGTAAACATACACAGCAGTGTCTGGCTAGCAGCTACTATTATCACCATCTTCGTGCAGCCCTTGCCCTTAGCAAGGCCTTCCCTGACCACAAGATTTAGATTTGCAATTCCCACCACCCTTCTCCCTGCTTTACTTCCACCCTAGCATACTCTAATACTTCCTTAGCCACCCTGTGTATTGGCCACCTCCCCCACCAGAATGGCAGTTCCTCCTTGAGGACAGGGTTTTATCTGTCTTGCTCATTGCTGCAGCCTCCAAGCCTAGAACAGCCCCTCCTTTGTGGAGGAGGCCCATGGTAAAGTATAACGTAATAAACAGGGCTGGCCAGGCCAGGGCAGGCTGAAGCCCAAACCCCTGTGTGCCCAGGCTTGGACTCGATCCCTCCCTTCCTTCCAGTCGCCCCCAGCTGCTCCTTCCCCAGGGTCACCCAAGTCTGTGCCTCTGCCCACACCTTTGCCTCAGAGCCCACCACCAGGTCCTTGAGCTCGATGATCTTGTCGTTGATGGAGGAGCGGTAGCGCTTCTCAATGGCATTGTGGGCTGTGCGCTTCTCACCACGGCTCTGGGCTGAGCCTGGGACCTTGCTGCCAGCTGCCAGCCGGTTGATGGGCAGCTTGTCAGCATCCACAACCAGTGGCACCGTTGCCAAGATGGTTCCACCACTCACCAGGGTCTGCAGGGCCGGGCAGGCATTAGCAGGTAGCATGCATGTGTGCAGACTGCATGCCCTTCTGCCCTGCCCACACCACCCACCTGCAAGGGCCCTGTCTGCACAGCCGTGCCAGGGACCAGGGGGCTAAGTCCTGCTGCCTTTACAGTGGCCCCCACATCTGTCTTCATAGCCGTCAGGAGCAGTGAGTCTGCCTTGATGAAGTGGGGCTGCAGCAAGACCTGGGGGTGGTAGAGGGCTCAGCCACGCATTCGTTGTATCCAGGCCAGGGGCTGCCACCTCCCCAACACCTGGCAAAACCCCTTACCGGGACCTGCTGGATCTGTGAGGCCACAGTGGTTGTTCCTGGGGCTGCTGTGGGGGCAGCTGTGGCTGTCAGTAGCTGCTGGGGGGCTGCACTCTGGACCTGGGTGTGCAAGGAAACGGGCGGGACCCCTGGCGGGGAAGCCAGTGGTAGGCTAGGCAGCGGCTGCTGGGTGCTCGCAGGAGGAGTCCCTGCAGAAATAAAGCCTGGGGCTGCAGCACAGGCTACCCTCACCCACTTTCAACCCACTCTTCAGGTCTCTATCACCATGTGGCCTTGGATTAGTCATGAGCCCTGTGGCTTCCTTTCTGGATAGTCCCTGCCTGGGCTCTGATGCAAATGTGCCAGCTTCCAACCAGGCCTCCAGCGGGAGGCAGTGCTTGACCCAGCAATAAGAACACAAGCCCTGCTAGGAATGGGTGTCTCAAGCAGCAGAGTTTTCTGTTTGTAAAGCCTGCAAATTCCTCTACTAAGACCACAGCAAACACCTCTTCCTGTGCTCCTGGTAGCACCCCGCCCCCGGCTGTCCCCTCCCACCACCACCCTCTACCCCTCCTTACCTGTAGAGAAGCCTCCAGGAGGGCTGGGGTAGCCCAACACAGAGGTGGAGCTGAACTGCAGTGGGGTTGGGGCTGGAAAGCTCTGGGATAGGAGGGCCCCTGGCAGGGGCTGTGGGGTGGGGGGCTGCAGGATGCTTAGTGGCACTGACTCTTCCTTGATACCAGGCTCAGGGGGAAAAGTGGGCACAGATGGGTACATGTTCAATGGGGTGGGTGTGGGCTGGGAAGGGGACAAGGGTGAGGGCGCTGCCTTGGGTCCCCCCAGGAAGGCTTCAAGAGGGGAGCTCAGCATGGCAGGAGGTGGGGACAAGCTGCCTGGGGAGCTGGCATTAGGGCTGGCCGGGTCTGTGCCTCCTTCCCCGTCTCCAGCATAGGGTGGGTCGAACAGGCCAGGGAAGTCACTCTCTTGGTTGTTGATGAGCTGAAGCATGTCTAGGAAAAGGAGAAGAGGGTGTGTGAGTGACAATGGGGTGGAGACTACCCCCCAAACAAGGCATCACACATTTGCACGAGCAAATCTATTTGCACAACTCTCGTCCGCAAACAGCTGTATATGTGTGGGCAATGCCACAGAACAGAAAAGCCACCCGTAGGAGCCAGTGCTCCAGACAGATCGCCATCTCAGGGGCCCCTGTACCCTCCAGAGCGATGCCTGGTGCCGCAAGTACGTCAAATAGCCCTTGCAACAAGTGGACAAAGTGGGCACATGAGGCTCACAGCCTTGCCTCACAGCCGGGCTGGGGCTGAGCCGGGGTCAGGCCCAGGAATTCAGACTTCACAGCCCGAGCTCTTCCTACCACCCAATATTTGCCTGATCATCTGACAATATGCTCAGTCCACAGCAAACAGCAGGCCCATGTTCGTTCGTTCATTCATTCATTCATTCATTCAATGAGCATAGCATATGCCGACTGCACAAGCTACACCAGGCACTGTTCCTGGCTGTGAACAAGACAGACAAAAATCCCTGTCTAGAACGAGGCAACTATCTGGAGAGCTGGGAACGTCCTGTATCTTGACATGGACACTTTTACTCCTGTCTTCAAGGACCATATGTTCTAGAAGACATCACCTTTGAGTCTTCACATACATGCACACACGCACTGCACTGTAGACTCAACCAGCTTCCAAGTGCTTCCCCAGAAGATGACAATCCCTTCCAAACAGTCTTTCCTGCTCTCTCCACACTCTGTCACTACCCCTACCCTAGGACCTGGCTTGGCAAAGGAGCACCCACCTCACCCAGGACAAAAGGAGTCCAGAAGCCAGATACAGCCTTGCCCTGGCCCCACAAGGGCCTCAGTTTCTCAATCTGTGAAACAGGGCCATGCCTCACAGATCCAGTAGGCCCAGTCCTTGGGAGGCGGATGGGACAGAGTAACCAGAGGGAGGAGGTAGCCTAGGGCAGGTGGGAAACAGGGCAGAGAGGATCTTTATATGGGTGCAATGGGCCCCACACCCCACCCACCGGCCACTTCTGGTCTCTTCCTTCAAGGCTGCCCAACAGGGTTCTCTGGGCACAGCACTTGAGAGAGCAACTGAGAGACTGCTAGGAAGTGGGTGACCTCCCCCTCCTTCCAATTTACAAGGGGAGGACAAAGCACAGAGAGAGGCAGGACTGGCTCAAGGCCCTGAAGAGGTGGTAGGGTCCTCCATGACCAGACCAGCTATGCAGCCCAGGCCCCACTCCCCTCAGGGGAGCATGGGCTCCCCAAAGAGATATGACAGGGAAGTCCCCCAAGAGGATACCAGGTCAGAGCAGCATCCTCATCCATGCTGGAAGGACTCAAAGGTGGTGGGGACCCACGTCAGTAGGATGGGTCTGGGCCAAGGGCAAGGCCCACTCTGGAGCCACCCACATTGATGGGGCTAGGCTGGGCCCCTAATCCTCCTGACACACAGCTCTAAGAAGGCAGTGTGATTATTAGCCCCATTCTACAGATGAAGAAACTGAGCTGTAGAGAGGTGACTTGCTGGCATAAGTTCTTACAGAGTCAGAGACAAAACTGTGTCTAGACCCTGCCTGACCCCAATGCCCCAACCACTGGTGACTGCCCTAGGTTGCCTCAGATGATTAGCTCACCTTATCTTGGAGACAAAAAAAAGGACACTGAGGTTCACAGAGGGCCAGAAGCAGCCTAAGAGCATGCAATGGGATTCAAACCCAGGTCTACAAAATGCCAAATCTATTGTCTCTGCACCTTTTCTTACCCCACCAAGAAGCCAGAAACAAAGCTGCCATCACCCACCCATTACTCAGTGTAACAGACTGAGGCTTGGGGCTGAGCCAGCTGCTGGCCATGTAGTCAACCAGTGTGTCTCCATGTGTTTTGGGCACAAGCCCAGGCCCTGCCTGCAGCCAAATAGCCTCAGGACCCAGGCCTGGCCATTTAGGGCTTTGGTTTCGCCTCTATAAAAGCAAGTGCTGTCTGTCCTGACTCCTTCCTCCTCAAACAGACTGGGACACACTCCCCACCTCAGCCCAGCCTGGCCATAGGCTCTCTCCCGAAGCTGGAGACTGGCAGCCTGGCTGGCTCAGCCCAGGGCCCTCTAACCCACTTGCAGTGGCCACCCACTAGGTCAGAGTTTTCTACAGGACCCATGAGCACAATCCCAGGGGCCCTAGTGTTCTCAGGGTCCCCAGCCTGAGCTCCCAGTCCTGCCCGTCACCAACATGAGATTGAGCCTGGCCCAATGGCCTCCTGTAACTGGGCCTCAGTTTCTTCATCGGTACAACAGAAAAGATTAAAACCCTTTTTGACAGAGCTGCCTGAGGCTTTGCCCAGCAGGCAGCTGGCACAGAGTGGGAACTCGACATTGTCTACTGACAGGTGCCAGGCAGGAGATTTACTGCAGGAAGGGACCTCCCTAAGGTCTTCAACAGAGCATGATGGCGGTGGCAGGCTCAGCCTCCCTGGGTCCTCAAATTGAAACCCTCCTGGTTAGTGGACCCTCCAGGTTTACGCAGGTCATAAAGTCATAACGTACTTTCAAATGCGGATCTTCCACCCTTCACCCAGTCCGTATGAGCCCCTTTGATAGATGGGAAAAACTGAGGCCCTTAAAGAAAAACTGACAATGATGACAATCTGGGGCTTCGACTATCTGCCTGGAGAGTCTAAGATGCCCCCAAAAGCAGGGCCACCCAACAGGTAGGACGTCGTGGTAGAGAATAGGACAACTGACCCTGCCCCAGATGTGGAGAAAGCCACCCTCTCCCACCAAACCCCCTTAGGTTCCTGGGTGCTGCTGTCAGGTCTCTAGGCAAACACTTCCGTTGGGTTGCAGGAGGGATTAATGAGGTTAGGGGGTGGTCCACTCACTTCCCCAGTGAGCCAGGAACTGGCATACCCTTTCCCTTTGGAAAGGGCTCTTTCCTACTTGAGTTCCATAGCCTCCACGCCCGCCACCCCCCGTGAGAACCCGGGAGGCATTGCAATAAAGGGGTGGGGATCCTCCGAAAAATACCTTCGAACGTGCAATCCATGGCTCTGCGGTCCGCGCCCGCCCCCTCGGGGCGTCCAGGCGGTTGACTCGGGCCCCTCCCCGCGCGGACTTCACCTGTCAAGGCTCCGCGGAGTTTTAAAGCCGGCTGAGCGCCTCGGCGCGCCCCGCCCCGCTTCGTCCTCAGGCCCCGCCCCTCCCTCAGGCCCCGCCCGCTCCCCGCCCCCCGGGGCTACGGGCCCGGGCATGGGGTGAGTCCACGCGGCCAATCAGCGGCCGCGCCTCCGCCTCACTAGGGCCCGCCCCAGCCCCCGCCCCACCCCCCGACGGCGGCCGGGACTCAGGTTTCACCCAGCGGCGCTGAATGGGACCGGGGTTACTCGCGGGCGTCCGCCTTTAACCCGCTCGGCGCCAACATCCGCCGGGGTTACTGGCGGTCACAGCCCTCTCTCAACTCCCGCCCCTTCGTTATGGGGCCAGCAGAGGAGGATGCCCCAAAACCCCGGAGCTCTGTGTTCGAAATCATCACTGGCTCACTGACATCCTGAAAGAGCCTCAACCGCTCCAAGCCTCAGTTTACTCCTCCAGAAAAACAGGACAATTATATCTCCCTGACACGGAAAGGTAGAAGGAAGGGAGATAATATGGGCGCAGCACTTAGTACTCGAGAAGCGCTTAATTAAGGCCACGGGCTGCCGGGTGGTGGCTGCAGTGCAGGGACCTCCCCCTCTTGGGGCAGCCTCAGAATGGGGCTACCTACCCTTCGTTCCAGTGGGGTGCGCATGGTCTGGGATCGCGAGAACCACCGCTGATAACAGGTCACTTCCGGGAAACTGAGGCCCAGAGTAAGGAAGGGAAACTTTTACCCCAAATTACACATCCAGGGTCTCCTGACTCCCATCACCAATGTCCCTCTGCAGGGTCAGTGAAGTCTGACCCTCTCCCTCAAGGTCTCACAGCCCTCTAGCTGTCACCAGGTAAGTCTCAACTCGCTTATTCATTGTGGGGCCCTGGGAGGCCAGGAAGAGACCCAGTTTCCTGGGACAGAGGTGGGGAAGGTAGAGGTGACAGGCTCTGGGGGTCTTTTGAAGGGCTGCCTGAGCCTGTCTCCTGTTCTGTCAAAGGTAAAAGTTCAACACACACACACAGAGATGATCAGAACTTGGCCAAGTAGACCACCCACAAGGCCCACCTCAGCCTCACATGCAGGATGGCTGTTCCCCCACACCCCCAGCTGTGAAGGGTGGCTGAATCCTGGGCAGGCGGCCGGGCAGCTCAGCAGTCAGTGTTGGGGGGCTGAGGGCCACTGTGACCCAACTCTCCCTTTTCATGAGCCTAAGCAAGAAAACTCAGCCATGTCTCCCTCACACCCTGCCCCCCACCCCCTCCAGGTCCTTCTTTCATGGCCTGCTCTTCCCCCGGCCCCTCACCTGCTGTGTGACCAGGGCAGTCCCCTCTCCCTCTCCCAGCCCCAACCCCGAGAACCCTCAAGGGTGGGGATTATGGGAGAACAAGTGTGTAAAGCACCCACCACTCAGCGGGGTCTCAACAAAGGTTAGTTCCCTCTGTAGCACATGGAATGGTCTAGAACTAGGAAGTCAGGTAGTACGTTGCTGGGTTCAACCTGGAGCTCCATAACCATTTGATGGGGATCTTTTTAAGGGGCATTAACAGGGCCTGACTAAGGTGAGCAAGAGTCACCTAGGGTGCACAATGTAAGGCAGTGCCTCTCTCGCCTCACCCTGGTCCCTGCCCTGGAAGCTAGGACAGCTGGTCTCGAGAGGCTCACCCACAGCCCCTAAGCTGTGGCCCGCCATGGGTGAGCTGAGCACGGGCTTCCCCAGGGACATTCAGAAGGTGCTTCTGGTTTCTACACACTTTCTGAACACGGAGAAGGGCAGCCCACACTGCGGGCCTCAGTGGGGCCCGCTGATCCCCCTGTCATTCACCTTTCCAGGCTTGTGGACCCCCAACAACCCCTCCCGAAG